GGTCTAGGTAGGGTTAAGCTACGGTCACAATCCGCCGTACGTGCTTCTGCGTGCTGTCTACGTGCAAAAACGTGGGCAAACGTAGGACATCCGTGCGTGGTGAGTACCGCCTCCGTACGGAATCCTACGGATTTGGGAGCACGCAGACACGCTGTAGAACTCTAAGTGCATGTAAAACTTTTTCTGCGTGCGGTCTGCGGATTCACCACCCGTGCGTGCGAGTACGGGCGACGCGCGTGCCCCGTATGTACCGTACGAAAGACGCACGTGTGAGTACGGCCTCCTTACGGTAAAGTTGCAATCGCACAGAGATCGTACGTTGTAAGCACGTACAACTCACTTACCACGATGCACGCAACCGCTCACGGCCAGACGTGGCGTGCAGACCACACTCTTACACTTTGCGAAACCGTGTGAGTGACGTGCGAGTGACGTGTGTTGATGCCACGTCTTCCCCACGTTTTCAGAAAAAACGTAGCAGACGTAGAATCCCGAAAAACATTTTCAGCAGTACTTTCCAGCAGTACCCCTCACAGTCTCCTGAGGCATACGTCCTCCGGCAAACCTGTCTAGGGGCTTCTCCTTCTGATGTAGTCGGGAGAGTCCCTGAATATAGATATCAGTAAAGGAATTATTCATACACAATCAGTATGACTCCAGCCAACATTCAATATCTTGAACTACACTAAACATATCAATTGACATGTCTAAATAAATGCTATCAAAGTCACTATTGCAAATTTACATACACCTGACTTGATCCCCATAATTATGTTGTTTGTGCTTTTGCCCGTTCCCTAGCTGCACTCTAGTCTAACTAAACCTTTCTTTGATATCTATTACATTTGTATATTGTGGTATTTCATGTTGCTGTAAATATATTTCGGCCATGTTGATTTGATTATATGGATGATATCTCCAAAAACTGATTCGAGCGTGCGAATGAAAAAAAAATTGGCCCAAAAAAAGAAAGTTGCTTTCATTATGAAATCTATGTGGTTTTGAAGGTTGAACAAATGACATAGAGAATGGTATGGCGAATAATCTAGTCTTCAAATTCATTTCTTTACATTTTCGTCTTTTTTTCGTTTGATTTTGGCATTCTACGACATTGGTATCGTTTTCCAATGTTTTTTTTAAACCTACGGTATATATTTATATTTGCTCATTTTGCAACTGTTTTGTACGATTTACAGTATGGTTGACAACGTTTTTTTGGGGGGGGGGGTTTAACGGCCGAAAATTTATGCGCGCACGGATTTCATCAATATAATGAAGTCAACATGGCCTTACCATTGTAGAAGGAAAAAAATAATAATGTTTTTGATCTTCTTCCTCTTCTTCAAACAAATAATGTCAATGACCTGGACCAGACGTATGTTACCATGGTAACTGGTGCTGTAGCACTTCAAGTAGCAAACACCTTTTTATCGATGAAAGCTCCTTGGTTACATTTTGTAGCAGTGTATAGCCCTTGGGGCATGTATTATGTATGAATGTGTTTGATAATTGAGTAAGAATAAGAAACAGAGCAGTTTATGCAAGACCATGTGAACTGTGAACATTATGCATTTGCTCGTTTGATACTGCATATTTAACTCGAACCCCCCCCTAATTCCAAAATGGACTGTTCCATCAACCTTTTCCATGTGGTGCTCTGTAGTGTTTAAATACCCTATGTAGTCCCCACCATCCATACAATGCTTTTTAGTAACAATTGTTCTCGAAAGAGTTTTTAGTAAAAGTGTTTTCAAGGATCATCCCGTCCAAAGTACAAACAGGATCGTCCCACCCTGTATCTGCTTGAAGATTGCCTATCCACGCCACATTGTGTCTGCTTGAGCATGACATGTCAGAGCCACCCTGTCTCTGCTTGAAGATTGATGATTTGAGGACATTTGGCTCCAAAATTAAGAAGTTAAAGTCATTTAACAAAATAGTAGAAGGAGAATGAGAAAGAGGTGAAGAAACATAAGGGAAAACAATACATACCATCCCTACACATGGCATGGAGTGAAACATGAAAGCAATGGACAGTGTATTTCATCGTCATATGGTGTGAAGTGAAGTATAGAAATGCATTTGCCGGAAAGTTTAGGCCACATCAAGTACTTTGTATGGATGATATCGGCGCACGCATTGATTTTGGTTCGATTTTCAGGAAAAAAAAAGAAATTCTGTTGCCCTTTGACGGTGGCCAACATACCGAAAATGAGCAAATATGTCTTAAACGTCCAACAGCAACGCTCTGATTTATTGTGAAGCCTTTTTTTACTGTGTTTTGATGTAGTTCTGCATTCCATTACTTTTATATGTTATGTTGCCACTAAATCAGAACCATTTGTAGACTCAAAGTTGTTTAAAAAATGAATGTTCTAATAGTTGGCATAATATATGGCCTCCGGATAGTTCAGTCTTCGCATCGCTGTCAGCAATTAAGTGTTCTGTTCTGGTAGACTGTGAATAAAACTGAGGAACGTTTAGTCTTGTTTGATGGCATTAGTGCTGGTAGTCCAAGGTGTTTCATTGCAAATAAATACTTAGTTTAATAGCTACCCATAATGATACGACACGCTCTTTTCTAGAATTGTTCTACTTATTTGCGTTTTATACACATCTACAAGAACAGGTAATACATTTGTACTATTGAATACTGGAATATAATCAAAAGACCTGTTGGTTGTGATATCATGTTGTAGTGATTGGTTTATTGTTAAAACACAGTAGATCGGCCTTGCAGTCACAGCTGAAGTGTGCCGAGCTTTAAATTCAACTACAGTAAGACCAACAATCATCATAACGATATGTAAAGCAACTTGACTTTCAAGTAACATTAAACAGTGTTGTCGTACATGTATTTACTACATGTTTTGTTGCCTCAACTCTCCTTTAACAAGGTTTACAATCTCAAAATTTGAAAATGTAATAATCTTGTTTGTTTTTGACCGCCTTGTTTTTTTCGCCCTGTCGCACTGGATTCGAAATCTGCGGAGAATGTCGATAAAATTTACTTGCTTTGACCTAATGAAATGACACATTATTTATTTTATTTTATTTATTTTTATTTTATTTTATTTTATCGAAATTGCAACAGTGCAATACACGCGGAACAGAGGCAGCTGTTGCTGGTGTTGTGTCCCACACATCGAAACGAATAATGGACGGACAATACTCATGTTCACTTGAGTTTAGTGGGGAAAGTCGAGTAAAGTACCTTTCCCAAGGGCACAAGATCGGTGGCATGTCAGGACTCGAACCCGGGACCTCTTGATTCCAAGTTGCGCACGCTGCCGTTGCGCCACACGACACCACATTAGCCAACATGGTGAATATCTTGGAATATTCGATAATAGACATAGACAATGCACTAACCTTTCATCCAGACGGGTCCAAGAGTTGAACAGCTGGTTCTACTGAGGAGAGAACAATTTGTCGGGATGACTCCTCCTGCAGGGCTGACAAAGCGGTACCAATTTGTTTGCAGGCCGCTGTCACACAGAGAGGGATCAGGCGCTGCCCACAACGCACCGACACTCCTCAAAGGTTCGTCAAGAGCCTCATAGGTTTGGCATGGATCGCCGAAGGTTAAAGCTGTGAGAAAGAGTTTTGTTTTTTTTGTTTTAACTTTGTACTTGTCGATTCCCCAGGTTAGCAGCATATGACTCTTGGAAAGGCATGTTGTCCCCAATGCTTTTACATTGTAAATTGCTGTCCAACGGAAGTCGCCCCAGGCCTCTTGTCACAAGTACATGTACATACAACACAGTTAATCAACTTAGTGCTTAATTCAGTGAGGAAAATCTGTAGACCAGGAGCCGTCCTGAAAAAAAAAGCTTTGTAAGAAAGCTTGTTATGGTGCTTTTTTTAGTGTTCTCAGTAATAAATGCTATCAGAGAATCAGATAATAGGCGAACGAATGCCTAGCATACCTACAGAGATTATCAATTAGGCCACACCGACTTAATTTTATGGATGACATCCTCTGACGACCCGCAAACGCGCGGGCAAATTTAAAAAAATCCGGCCAAAATTAATAATGCTACTAAACCACTGGAATGCAAAGCTGGCATTGTGCGTCAGTACTTAAGCGACGGTCACAACTCGCCGTGCGTGCTTTTTGTCCGTACGTTTTCGTCGTGGCTACGTCTGCTACGTTTTTTCTGCAAACGTAGGGTGGCCGGCCGAGGGAGTACGTCACTCGCACGGTTGCGCAAGGTGTACGTACGTGGTCTGCACGACACGCCTGGCCGTCAGCGGTTACGTGCATCGTACGTTGCGCAAGTGGTAAGTGAGTTGTACGTGCTTACAACGCACGATCTCTGTGCGATTGCTACGTTGCCGCGTACAGGCCGTACCTACACGTGCGGCGTACGCACGGTTTCCTTACTCACTCGCACGGTGTAAGTGCGTGCACCTCCTGTTAACTTCATCATCACTAGCCGCCCTGGTGTCTTCCGCGGCCCGTTTCTTTGGGTCTTGTCTGGTAGTCTTCTTCTGAGCCTTTTTGGGCATCTTGGAGACGAGTTGGCAGTCGCCCGTCAAGTTGTCTTTATATACTGTAGAGATCAGGTGCGTTGCACGTGCGTTACACGTGCGGAGCACCTGGTATGGTGCACGTGTGTTCTGCGTGGTCATTGAGCAGGTCAACTGGGAAGTGAGGAGTAAGCACGGATGACGCAAGCCCCGTGCGTGGCACGCACGTGCTTCGTGCGCTGTCCGTACAGCAATTGCACGTGAGAATAGTGAAGTTAGATTCACGGAATCCGTACGTTGCACGCTCATAGGCTGTACGGGGCACGCGCGTCGCACGTACTCGCACGCACGGGTGGTAAATCCGCAGACCGCACGTAGAAAAAGTATTACCTGCACTTAAAGTTCTACGGCGTGTCTGCGTGCTCCCAAATCCGTAGGATTCCGTACGGAGGTGGTACTCACCACGCACGGATGCCGTACGATTGCCCACGTTTTTGCACGTAGACAGCACGCAGAAGCACGCACGGCGAGTTGTGACCGTCGCTTTAGCGACGTATACGACCAGTCGGCACATGCTGGCTTTTTGCGGAATTTAGTAATCATCACTGTAGGTTAGTACTGAGTTCTTGAGTCATGGAGCTTTCTTAAATCATGACCAACACGGTAACTTGCATGCGTCGACGTAATGCAGCTATCAGTACTTATGATCTGCACCACATTTTTTTTGCCATGCTTTGTGTTACTTTTTCTTAGTTATTTCCTGTAAACATTTGCCATTGAGCCGAAGTTTTGTGACTGCATAAAACACTGGCTACATAAAGTCCTGACTTTAAGGCCTGGACAAGAAGTTAAAAAGAATTAACCCCTTTGGTCAGTGACTCCTCATGACTCCTTCAAGAAAAAGTCTGAATGCCGGAGCATGTACTATAACGGAATGCTTCCTTAGGCCACAGCAAGTAATTTTTATGGATGACATCAGTGCAGCGCGCGCATTAATTTTCGCCTGATTTTGGGAAAAAAAAAAAATTTTGTTGCCTTCTGACAGTAGTCACCATGCCGAAAATGGGCAAAGATGTCTGTTGCCATGCCGGAAGGTGGATGGCAGATAACTATAAAGAGGGGAGACAAGACAAGGCTCTGATTTTATGTTTTGTTTCTTACTTTGATGCAGTGATATGTGATGCTGGCTGTGTAAATGTGATGTTCCCATTGAATCAAAACCATTTGTACAATGATTGAGTCAAAATTTCAAAATGTAAGAACCTTGTTTTTTTCGGCCCGCCTTGTTTTTTTTCCCCGCTCGCATTAGATTTGGAATCTGTGGAGGATGTCATCCATAAAATTTATGTGCTGTGGCCTTACCTGAAGAAACAAGAAATATGACGAGTGCCAAGATCATTTTGTATCTACTGGGCTCGATTGCACATCCAAGGTGGGTGTCCTGCTAGGATTGGTTATTTAGACCAAGTACCCTTTCTCTGTTTTTGAAGCCTATGTGTGAATTTATCACTGACAACTAAGCCGACCTACTATGCAGGTGCTACTGTTGACACAGCCAAAGGCCATATATATATATGTGTGTGTGTGCACAGGACTTTGAGCATGTCATAGGTTCATAAATTATCACACTAGCTTTCAAGTGTTTTCGTCAACTTCAATTAATATTTTACCATTTCCTCATTGGATCGGGATATCAACAGGGACAAATTTATGACACGAAGAAACAAGGGGAGACGGGGTAAAATCTTAGTGAAGTTGGAGAGATTTTCCTAGATTCTTCTTCCTTGTTGTTAAACCTGCGTAAAATAATGAGGACGAGAGGCAGAGTCATCCCCATCTTGCTGTGTTTTTCGCGGGTAGTTTGGAACTTACATCCGATTGACAAATGAAGCAGACGTGGATTATTATGGTGGTGACGTCATATTGTTTTTGCTCACGTTTCTTCTTCTCCTCCTTCTCCTCCTGCCATTTCTTTAAATATTAATTGATTTAACTCCTTCATTTTTAGGCCAAATAACATGAAATTTGTCATGAAGGTAGAGTGGGCAAATACCCCAAGGCGTTTTTTTTTTCATTTTTGTGATGCAGGCTTTTAGAATGGTTTTATTTGAGCTTTTTTGGTTGCGTCATAGAAAATGTACTATAGCAGTGTGTTACCATATTTGGGCATGAGTCATCAGAATGGCATGTAGAGCAGGCAACCAATAGGCATGCAGCTTTCCTCTATTCTCCTTGCTGATTGGCTATTCGGATTTGATTGGTTTAACTCAATTAACACCTGCACAAAGCCATGTCATTTTGACAGTATGAACTTTATTCAAGTGTTTTGGTAGGTATGTCAAGCTTCCCTACTCAAGCATTGGAATGCAGGGCAGAAACGCTTCTTTTTATCTTGAAAATCAACAGTTTGCATTATGCAATTAAAAATCCTAACCAATAATGTAAGCGATAGCTATCCAACTGTTGTCATTTCATACTATAGTTATATATCAATGTAAAGAATTATTTTCCCTTGTCTTTCTCCTTCTTTCCCTGCCATGTCGTGAAATGTGGTGAAGCCATGCTGAATTTGCTCCAAAGCAAATGTCGGCCTTTCTAGTCTAAATCCGCGTTTTTGACGATCACGCCCCTTCTATAACTCGTAAAACACGTACTCGTAAAGTCAAGGGCATTTGACGTCCCTCCCCGTCGGTAAAGGGCCAAAGAATATGAATCAAACAAGAGGAACGGAGAACAATATCACAAGCTTGCTATATTCAGATATATTTTTATCAGATACAAGGATCAAATTCACACGACAGACTTGTTACGTATGTTTGTGTGCTGTTCGCGGAGTAATGTCATGAATGTTTTTCCTAGTGACTATAACTGTTACAAGTTGTTGTTTTTTTCTCATCAACCGCTTGACCCTCCATGATGTTTTCTTGTTGACCATTTCTGCGTCCATTTTCAGGACTTCTTACAATTTTTAACAAAATCAAGAATGCTGAAATCTTTTTGTGAACTTCCAGTTAAAATGGGGTAAAGTATATTTGTATGTCTAGCACTGAAAGCATAAAGTGGAGTTATTCTAGTCTGTTGTGAAAGAAAATCACTTTTTAATCATGTTAGTCATGAAATGTTTGACCGAACGATGTAAGAAAATAAGAACCCAATGATGAATCTACTGGTTATCTACAACAAAAGTGAAGAAAATAGAATCTCCTTACCTGACAGTGTGTAAAGTAAACCTATGGCAAGTAGCAGATCCATCCTCAACATGTCATGCTGTGTTTTTCCTGGGTAGTTTGGAACGTACGTACGATAGACAAATGTATAACGTATAAACACGAGCAGGAGGCTGTGCAAGTGGATTAGGTAGTATCTAAATCCCCGTTCTTTGACGATCACGCCCCTTTTATAGCTCTTAAAACACGAACTCATAAGACTCAAGGACTCGTAAGACTCAAGGGCACCCTTCCCCACTCTTTTTTATAGAGTCAAAGAATGCGAGTCAAACAAGTAGATATATTAGGCCACACCGACTTAATCTTATGGATGACATCCTCTGAAGACCCCAAACTAGTGCGCGCGGGCGAATAAAAAAAAATTCCGGCCAAACAAAAATGCTACTAAACCACAGAAATACAAACCTGGTATTGTGAATTTGCGGCAGTACATAGCGACGTATACGACAAGCTGGCACATGCTGGCCTTTTGTGGAATTTAGAAGTCCCTCGGAAGCATGCGGCCTTGAGTGAGTGAGTGAGAATTGTACGTATGTGCTGAGTTCTTGAGTCGTGGAGCTTCGGTATAGCCTGGGTGCCATCCTCCAGAGTTACCACCGGCTCCGTACTGTCGCTAACTACCTTGGACTACCCAGGCCAGAGCCTCGGAGGACGTGATTTTTTTTAGAGCAGGCGAAAATCAATGCCCGCGCGGATGTCATCCATAAAATTTAGTCGGTGTGGCCTTACGGAGAATAATATCACGGTCAGATAGATTGTTATCAAATAGGAGGGTCAATTCTGCACTTCAGACTTATTATGTTTGCTGTTCAGGTGCACAATACTCGTATCATAAATGCCTGGTGAAGTTTTTTCCTTGATTTGTGACATGTTTGATCGACCGTTTTACCCTTATTGTTGTGTTTCTCTGCCAACGCCAACACTAGAATGAGACTTGTTCCAAATTTGGACTTTCCTC